GTTCTTTTTTTTTCTTCGTTTCTTCTTCGTTTTGTTTTTGTTTTTGTTCAAATCCCCCATTTCGTAATGATGTTATCGTTTTTTTTTTTTTTTGGTTCAAAAAAATAAAGTCGGGATTTTTTCTTTTTCAAAACATTCGATTCGGTTATCGATCGATCGAACGATTAATAACGTCATTTATGAATCAATTCATTTCAAGGTATTTCCGAATCAAAACAAACACAGAATGATTGGATTGGTTTGTTGTGTTCGATTCGATTCTCGAGAAAAAAATGAAATGAAAAACCACAAATAAAAACTTTTTGTTTTGTCGCAAAATAAATTTTTTTTTCTTTCGAAATAATGATCACAAATTGATCATTATTATCAATAATGAATGTGTGCAAAAAATGTTTCCGAATAACTGAAACAAAAAACTTTTGAGAAACAAAAACAAAATTCTGTCATCAATATCATAAACCTAACGACCATTCGACATCTAATTGCTTTTGACCAATTTTCTGTTTTCCCCTTGTTTGTCTTTGTCTCATTATCGTTTTTTGTGTAATATTTAGAGAAGATGTTGTAAAAACATAACACACACAAAAAGACAAACATGGATGGCCTTATTGAAGAGATCCACATCCCAAGATCGATTCTATGAAATGAGTCAAACATAATGGGATATCCAGAAAAAAAAGAATAATGGTTTTTTCCCTTCTTTTTTGTTTTCTTTGGCTTGCCCTGTTTTGAATTTTATGTGGAACAAACAATATTCGGTATGTATATATAGATAGATGATGATGATAGCTTTTGTCTTTTTTCAAATATTTTTTGTTTGTTTTTTTATCCTTATAACAAGACTTTTGAAACAACAATAACAAATTCGTCGTTGTCGTTGTTTTGGGCATAAAATAATGGCTGTCGATAATGAATGGATGAAAAAACAACAACAACAACAAAACCTAACGACAAACGAAAACAAGTCAACAACACTAAGCCACCACCAACTGTTTTTTTAGTTTGTTTTTTGTCTTGTTTTTCTTTAAGTCTTTCGTTCGTCTATAGTTAATACATTTTTGTTGTTTTATTTTTCACTTTCTTATGATGAACAAACAAACAATCAATGGCCATTTTCATTCATTGAGAATATCTTCGACAAACATGATAGACATGTTAATCGTTTTCAAGCTCTTCATTTTAATTCTGGTCATTCATTCTGGTGATGGTGGTGTGATGATGAATAGATCCTCTGAACAGAAACAAAAAACAATGATGCTCATTTCCTAAATTATCATTCGAAACATGAACATTAATTTCAAGAAATGAAGCTATTTCCACTATCGTGTATGTAACATGTGAAAATGGATTTTTTTTTTAATCTTGCCAGAAAAAAAACATCATTTTTTTCTTTTGATACAGATCTTTTACATCATTCATCTTTGTGACATTCTTTTTTTAAAACCGGAATTTATTTGCTTTTCTGTGTCCCATATTTCTTGTCACAGGAAAGAAATTCGAAGATTCATTTTTTTTTTGGAAACCAAACCGCGAAATACTTCAAAATGTTTGATCAAAAGATTTAACTTGATCAAAAAATTCAAGTGAAAAATCTAATCTAATCGGCAAAAAGGATTTCAAATTGGATTGGCTACAAACAAAATTTGTTGTATCTATCTATCATCACGATAAAACATCAACATTATTTTTGTTGTTGAAAAGGAAAACATTTGCATGATTTGTTTGTAAATCAAGCAAAAAAAAAACATGACAGAAATGAAAAATGATTGGAAATACGCGACCAAATAAGCTTATCATTACATTTTGGATGTTGCTATTTCCGATTACGACCGACCGACCGACCGAATACTAATAATAATGATGATCCATTGAGGCAAGAATATGAAATGAAAACAAGAAAAACGATTCAGATGGCAGATCATCATCATCATCATCGTTTAATCGAGCCAAATATGATACTTTTTTTTTATTATTATTCATGACAATCTTCCGGTCGAATTGTGTTTCAAATCTCAAAAAAAAATTTTCTATGCATGCATTCATTCGAATGTGACTGAATGCGCATTCTCCATAACATATCGAAATACATGACTAAAAGACTTGTAATTTCATTAGATTTAAAAAAAAATTTACTAAGAAAATATTTTTTTGAAGAAAAATAAAACTTTCAATGAAGATGAGATCTCGGATGAGTTATGTAAGTAACAGACAAATTTTTTATGGACAAGAACCAGACCAAAATTAATCTTTTTCTTCTTCCTGTTGTAATGGTTGTTGATTTTCTTCTTCTTCTTCATGTTCAGATTTTTTATCTTCAGACGATTCTTGAGATTCCGATACAGATTGTTGTTGTTGTTGCTGATCTTTATTCACAACAACAACAACATTTTCATCATCATCATCAACATCCATAGATTCATCAATTATTTCATCATCATTCAAACCAGTATCTTTTTCAGTAATCTTTTCGAATGGTAAATCTTCATCGATTTGATTATCATCTTGTTCAGGCTCTTCATCATCGTCATCATCATCATTATCAACTTGTTGTTTTCTATTTGGATTAACAATTGATTCAAATAATTCTGGATCTTGTTCACGTATTCGTTGCACTTGTTTTGTATAAAAATCAAATACAAATTTTACCATTTTACTCATATCATCAATAATAATCATTTCTTGTTGTTGTTGTTGTTGATTTTTGTTTATTCGTTCAATCGAAAATCTTTTCGTATAATATTCATTCGGTATCAATTGTAATCGATTAGGATGTTTGTTTAGTAATGAAAATGTTTGCTCAAGTTCTAAACATGATTCGAATAAATTTCGTCGACAAAATACATAAAGTCCAAGACGTGCACGTGACATTGCAACAATCAAACGTCGTACATCTCTAATATGGCCAACAGTTTTTGTTCGTACCAATGATAATAAAATATAATCATTTTGTTGTCCTTGAAATTTATCCACAGTAGTCACTTTATTTGGTTTGCCAATAAATGGATTCGTTGAACAACGTTGTTCAACAACATCACGTATTAAATGTTTTTGGCCATTATATGTTGTCAATATTGTTATCTTATCCGATGGATATCCCAATAAACGCATATACATAAATGTTGCAACAACAAATTCAGCTTCGGCTAAATTCTGTAACGAAAAAAAAAAAAATTTAAATCCATTATGAATATTGAGATCAAATAAAAATACCTGATAAAAATGTGGTAATGGTTCGGATTCACCAACATTATTAAAATCTTCTACATTAATCAATTGATATTCATAAAGGAAACCTATATATGAAAAACGAAACGGGTATTTAAATTTGATAAAAAAAATATCCAAAAAAAAAAGGTAATTTACCTGGATTAGGAAATTGATATTCCGGTAATTCATTAATATGTTTTAAATTTTTAAGATTTTTATATTTCCAACTATATAGTTTACAGATTGATGGACGTGAACGTCCTTGTGAATCCAGATAAATTGTCGGTACACCAAGTCTTACAAATCTGGTAAACAATGATTGTTCCATATTACTAAATTTTTGAAAACTAATATTTTTAATTACAGGTGGTAATTGTAAATGATCACCAATCATAATCCAACGTTTTAAACGATTATGGCCATGATTTGGATTCTGTAATAATAATGGTATGAATGTTTCAATTTCAAGAATTTGTGCCGATTCTTCCATTAAAATATTATCATATTGAAACATAAGATTAACTAATTCTTTACGTTTTAATGCTGCATGTGTACATGTCATGGCAATAATTTTTGCTTCTCTTACCAACAGGTAATTAGCACGATCACTACCTGAACGCATAATTTCGAATGCACGAAATTCATCCAATTGTGTGAATATTTTTTTCAGAAAACGAAAACAACCTTTTGCAATTTCTAAATCTTCATCAAATGATTGTCCATGAAATAAATTGGAAACATTGGAAAAAAATTTATGAAATGGAAATTTTTCTTCAATAATTTTTGCTGTTCGATTTTCAATCTGATTTTGATTGATTTCATAAAGAAAAGCTTCCCATTTAGATAAAACATGATAAAGATAAAAATAACGTGCCGTTTCACAAGTATATGCAACATCATCATCAAGATTTAATGATTGTGCCAATTTACCAACCAAATCCAATAATTCTAAACGTTTTTTCAATACATAATTAACACGACCATAACGGCTAAAATCTTTTTCCGTTTCCAATGTTTCTTCACCATGACCAAGTCTTAATAAATGTCTTTCATCAATATCTAATGATATTATTTTTTCAAACATTGCATTCAATGCTTGATTTGAATGTGTTACAATTAATGTTCGTTGATCAGGATGATTATGATAAAGATTGTTTATAATTTGAACAGCTAGATCAGTTTTACCTGAACCAGGTGGTCCAACAACCATTGTTAAACCATATTGAATTCCTGAACGAATAGCTTCAATTTGTTTGGTTGTAAATCGTATACGATTCCATTTAGGTTGTTCATCAACATATGGTCCACGATTCAATATCTTATAAGGCATTACAGATATTTTCTTTGATTCATCATCAATTGAAAGTCTAAACGGTGGTTTCGGTGGTGATGAATCGATCATTTTTTCTTCAACATTATTGTTTACCATTTGAATTTGATATGTAGGAAAACATTCAACTAAATGATTATAATCAATAAATGTATCGAAAAAATCTAATCGTTTAAATTGTTGTTCATTTGTTGAAAGATTTGAATAATGTGCTGCGCTTGGATCACCATAACCAAGCAGTATATCATGTAGCCATTCAGGTACAACACATTTTGTATTCATTAAATCACGTATTGTTTCCAATACAGCTTTAAAATTATTTTCTTTCGGTTTTCGTCGTACCAATACATTAAATGAATCATAAATATCATTAAATTGATTTGAATTTTCATTATCAATTTTAAATTGATTTTGATCAAGTAAAACACGATATGTACGATAATCAGTATCAAATTGTGGACGTTCATTAGCAACAGTTTCATCCACTAATCTTCCTTGTACATCTAACATTCCTTCAATTTCACAACCACGTACATATGTAAGTCCAACTTGTGGAATAAATGGTTCATTATAATTATATTGTGTTCCGAATTTTGTTTCTGGTCGTACAGTGATTAAAAAACAAACATCATGTTTACGTAATGATTCCCATTCATTTTTGATTGATTTTTTTACATTTAAATTGACAATAATTTCACCACGTACGCGGCTTGGTTTATCTTCACCAATTTTGGCTTGGCCAATTTCCGTAATATGAAATGAATCAATAGGAATGGCCATACGTGACCAACCACCAAACATAATATCACCGTCTTCAGTTTTCCATGGTTTTAAATGTGAAACAGCATTTTCAATATCTTGTCTTATTTCATATGTTGATTCCAAACGAAATAGATGAAAATTTCTTAACAGATAATCATGTAATGTAAGGAATTGTATATTTAATTTTGGTAATGCTAAACAATAATCACCAGAATAATATTTTGATGGTACTAAATTTTCATCCCAAATAATTTGTTCATTTGGATATAATGGCATCTGGTTTAATGATTTTATCTGTGAATCATATCGTTGATAACGATCAACTAATATTTCAAGTAATATATCTTTACGTTTAAGATTATGAAAATAATTACAAATTTTATCAATTTGTTCATTATTATCTAAACCAATTTCCAAATGATGACAAAGCATTATCAAACGATTTTCATTGATTAATGAAAAATATTTTAATAATTTATTTCGATTATCAATCGATGCAACACTTGCCAAAAATAATGGTCGATATTCATCAATGTCGGAAAATAATTTGAATATTTTTTTCTGTAAATTTGTTAATTGTTCAAAATGTTTTGATGATATTTGTGAATCGGTTAATGCTTCACCTGTAACATCATCGATTTCGAATTTTACATAAAATCTTAGCCTATCCAATAATTGATTAAATAACCGACCTTCGTTTGGTCGTTTTTGTGCCAATATGGATAATCTTGATACAGTAATAACATGTAGATCATCAACAATAGCATTGAAAAATCTTCTTGTTGGTAATAATGATTCAATGTCGATAAGAAATTCAATAAATCGTTCACAATAACGAATCAAATCGATTTCTTTTCCACCAAGTTTTGGTTTCATTTCCGCAGATGGTATTTCATTTAAACATTTATAAAAATCATATATAAGATTATAGAGAAATTTTCGTTCAAACATCACTTGTTCACGTTCCGATTCGGATAGATTTTGATCGGATTTTTCAATTTTTTTCCAAAATTTTTTCAATTTTGGTACTTTTTTAAATTCAAATTCAAGACGAGCCAATGATAAACATGACCAAATTGGCATTGAAATATATTTCTGTATGGAACATCTTACCAATTCGATTTCGATACTGTTAAAACAACGAATCAAAAATATTAATAAAGTTAATTTTTCTTTTGATGTTAATGATGATTCGGTATTGAGCATCAAACGTGTTGTATGTCGAAAGAATAATGGAAAATGATTCGGTTTTTGTTCGAATGTTTGCCATGAACCGACACCTTCACGAAATTTTTGATTAACCATTGCTACGATAGACATGATCAATTCTTTACAATCACAATTTGATTCATTATAATTTGGCCATAATTGATTTTCAAGATATTTATCAATTTCCAATTTACCAACAATCGATGTTGAAAAAGATGTGGCCAAAATCTGTTCCAAATATGTTTGGCGAATTTGATCAAGAGATGCCATTGTTTTTTGTTGGTTGATGATAATTTTATTTCGGAAAATTTTATCAAATTTGAATCATCGAAAAAAAAAACAAAAGCAAAAAATCACATGTCTGTCATTCGAAATTGAACCACACACAATCAACTTGTAACGTATGAATTGATCATTTGAAAGCACATTGTCGATTGTTATTTTGGCGCTTAATTCCAGTTATCATCAATGAAAATTGATCCATTAAATTTCGAACGAAAAAAAAAAATAAAATGTCTCACGACGAATATCAATATCTTAATCTAATTAAACATGTACTTGAAAATGGTGCCGAAAAAAATGATCGTACCGGTACGGGTACAATATCATTGTTCGGTACACAAAATCGTTATTCACTTCGTAATCAAACATTACCATTGATCACAACAAAACGTGTATTTTGGCGTGGTGTTGTTGAAGAATTATTATGGTTTATAAAAGGTTCAACTGATTCGAAAAAATTATCCGAAAAAGGTGTAAAAATTTGGGATGCAAATGGTTCAAAAGAATTTCTTGATAGTCTTGGTTTTATTGATCGTCAAGAAGGTGATCTAGGTCCTGTTTATGGTTTTCAATGGAGACATTTTGGTGCCGAATATCGTGATAATCAAACTGATTATAATGGTCAAGGTATTGATCAATTAAAACAGCTTATAAAAACAATCAAAACAAATCCAAATGATCGTCGTATGATTATAACGGCTTGGAATCCATCAGGTAATTATTTTATTTTGAAAGTAAAGAAATACAAAAACGTTTTCATTTTATATTTAGATCTTCCTAAAATGGCTTTACCACCATGTCATTGTTTGGCACAATTTTATGTCTGTAATGATGAACTTTCCTGTCAACTTTATCAACGATCCGCTGATATTGTAAGCTAATTGTTGTATTACAATCTACCATGTTAATTCTTTACAAATTATAAACAAAAAAATAGGGTCTAGGTGTTCCATTCAACATTGCCAGCTATTCATTATTAACACATTTAATTGCTAATGTTTGTGGATTAAAAACTGGTGAATTTATTCATACAATTGGTGATGCACATATTTATCGTGATCATGTTGATGCACTTCTCCTGCAGGTACTGTTTGTTTGTTTGTTTTTTTGTTTTTGCTTTCAATTTTTACTTAAATCAACATTATTTTTTTCAAATAGTCAACAAGAACACCGAAACCATTTCCAAAAATTCAATTCAAACGTAACATTGATGATATTGATGATTTTACAATGGATGATATTGAATTGATTGGATATGATCCATATGCTTCGATCAAAATGAAAATGTCCGTTTAATATTTTTTTTTGGGGGGAAGGCTGACCTTCGTTCTCATTTCACATTGTCATTGAACTTGTTTTTTTTCAAAATGAAATAAAATCCATTTTTCTGATTTGATTTGATTCGATTGATAAGATTTTTATTTCGCAATTTTTTTTTATTTGATAAACAAAACACTTGCGCATTTAAGTAAACACACACACCCCCTATACGAAGATAAATCTTTCACATTTGTTTATCAACAACGACTACGTTCAAATTTCATTTTGTCAAATCCCAATAAGCGAAAAAATCTTCCAAACGTTGTAGCCAACCAACAAACTAAAATCAAGATTTGATTGACAATTTACAGTTATTTTTGGCTAATAACCTTTGATTTTTTTGTTTTTCAACGAAAAATCACAAAAATCAAATCACATCATCATTGAACATTCGAAAACAACAACATTCCTTACTTGATTGATTGATTATATAATCAATAACCAAAATATCAAACATTGATATAAAAAAAGTATTTAAAAAACGAATCATATGTGTTTATTATTGAATTTTGTCCAAAAACAATAGCCGAAACGACGACACAAAATTATTCAATTATGAATGAAAAAGATGATGACCATAATCAATTGAATAATGGTAAACAATCATTGAAACCATTTTCATCGATACCAGGACCATGGCCATCATTACCATTGATTGGTACTGGATGGTATAATTTTTATTGTTCATTAGGTATGATTATTATTGTTTTCATTTTTTACAAAAAAATTTAATTTGAATTTATCAAAATTGTTTAGTTGGTCGTTATGATCTAAATAAATTACATGAATTTAATATTGAAAAATATCATAAATATGGACCAATATTTTGTGAAGAATATCAATGGCGACAACCGGTTGTCAATATATTTGATCCTGTTGATTATGAAACAGTGTTTAAATATCAAGGACGTTGTCCAATTCGACCTTCGAATGAATTTGTATCATATTTTCGTCGTTCCCGTCCAGATCGTTATCCAAGTGTTGGCCTCACCAATCTTAATGGTGATGAATGGTATGATCAACGAAAAAAATTAGAACCATCCATTATGAAATTATCGACAATCAATGAAAATATGCTGAATCAAAATGAAATCTGTAATGATTTTATTGAATATCTTCGTCAATGTATCAATCCTGATACAAATATTGTTGATAATATTCAAGAAGCTACATATCGTTTATCACTTGAATCAATTTGTATGCTTTGTCTTGACACACGAATCGGTGCATTTGATTCGAAAACAAACACACAACAACAACAATCATCATCGGAAACATCTACCGATGCTGAAATATTGATCGAATCAACAAAACTTTTATTCGATACATTCAATGAACTTTATTATAGTTATCCATGGTGGAAATTTATGAAAACAAATGCTTATAATAATTTAGAACGTGCCGAATCAATGATTTATGATGTTGCATCCAAACATGTACAGAATGCTATCGATAATCAAATAAATGGTAAGGATTTTAATTGTTTTGTTTTGTTTTTGTTTTCAATTTTTTAAAATAATCTACTTCATTTTAAGAAATATCCGATCATGAAACAGTGTTACAAAAACTATTCAAAACCGAACAATTAACAAATGATGAAATTAAAATGGCAATCATTGATTTTATTATTGGTGGAATATTTACCGTATCCAATACGTTTGCATTTTTATTCTATCATTTGGCTGCTAATCAACGTGTACAGGATAAACTTTATGATGAAATTCGATCAGTAAAAATTGATGATGATGATAATGATGATATTCTACCAAAACATTTGGCTAAAATGCCTTATCTAAAAGCTTGTGTACAGGAATGTTTTCGATTAACTTGTCCGGTTCCCGGTATTATGCGTATAACAACACAGCCAATCCAATTATCCGGTTATGAAATTCCGGCCAATGTAATATAATATTTCTTTCAATCAATCAAACATAAATAATTTTCACCAAAAATTCCTTATTATTTATTATTTAGACAATGATTTTTGCACATCTAATGGCAACATGTCGTTTATCGGAATATTTCAAAAATCCTGATCAATTTTTCCCAGAAAGATGGCTGAATCCGATGGAAAAACAAAAAATTCATCCATTCGCATTATTACCATTTGGTTATGGTGGCCGAATGTGTTTGGGTAAAAGATTTTCCGAATCAGAACTTTATTTATCTTGTGCACGATTAATACAATCATTTCGTTTGCAATTGATTGATCCAAAACAACAATTAGAATTGAAACATGTTTTTGTTGTTATACCGGCTAATCCAATCTCTATCAAATTAACACCAAGATAATTTTTTTTTACAAATTTTTTAAAATTAAAATTTTTTTAAATTTTTTAATGAAATTACCAAGATTTTAATTATTTACGAATAAATAAAAACAATAAGCAAACGAACAAACTTTTTTTTGTGTTAATCAATTCATTTTTTTCTTTGATTCAGACCACCATCATTACCATTACGATTTTTTTCATTATTATTAAAATTATTAACTTTACGTTGTTTTTTACGTCGTTTCATTGCAAATGTTGCCGTTATAGCATGTACAGCGGCACGAAAACGAACATTTTTTTTCGTTACAATATACCAAAATCTTCGGCCAAATATTTCTAATATTTCAAATAATGATAGAAAACTAAAACCAACATACATTCCAAGTATACCTCCCAATGATGAAAATAATTTTGCTGTTGTATAGGCTTTTTCCTGTCTTACTTCTTGACAGGTCATTGTTTGAAAATATACAGTTACTTTGGCTAAATTTTGAAAATTCATATCCACTTTACCACGATCAAATGTAACACGATCTTCACGTGTTGGCCATTTTGTCATCGAAACAGTTTTATCATAATTTATTACCTGACAACGTGGTGGACATTTACAAGTACTTACTTTTTCTTCAGCTTGAAACATTACCTCTTCAACACAGTTTCGAGTTACTTTACGTCTTGTGTCACAAATTTTCAATGTAGAATTCAATTCCAATTGTGGTAATTGAGCACTTTGACATTGACAACGTGTATGAATGGTTCGTTGTAGACAAATTTTCAAACATGCTTGCTGTGAATAAGATGCATTTTGTGTTAATCGTCCAACTAATCCGGCTGGCCAATGATCAATACATTCTTCGGGAAATGGTTTCGGTAATCGACTAATATTAACCATTTTCATACCAATATAAGTTGATTGTTTTGGTGCAACAAATATAGCTTCCGAAGCCGAATTACCAATTTCATCTGGATGTTGTATCATTACTATAGCACCAATCTGTGCTGTACCAATAAGATATTCACTTATCTCAAGATTCAATACTAATTCCAAACCATAATTAACACCAGCAATAGATGTTTCATCTTTAATACGTTCCAGATTAGTTTTACGTAGATTTTGTGATTTAAATGTAAAACAATTACCTTCGGTTGGTGTAAAAAAATGTTCAAAACTATTTGCATGAGCACAATTTGTTGAACGTATAGTACAACGAAGTATTAAATCTTCAAATTGATGACCAATTTGTTTGGCAATTTTTTCATTCGAATTATAAATAACAGCCAACCAATTGGTTAGATTTTCTTGTAATTCTTTTTCTTCTCTTTCAGTTAATTCAATATTATCAAAATATGCTGGTGGTTCTTTTGTTGTTGCTGATGATGATGATGATGATTGTTTTTGATTATTATTATTACCCGATTGATTATTACCATCTTTATCATTTGTTGAATTATTATTATTATTATTTTTATCCGAATTATCTGTATTTGTTTTTGAAACTTTACGTTTAGGTCGATCCAATTGTATATCGATTGGTCCGGCAATATCATTCGGTATATCATCAACTAATGGTTTCATTGTTGTTATTGTTGTTGCTGTTGTTATTGTTGTTGACGATGATGATGATGATGATGATTCGGCAGTCATATTCGAATCAATATCTGTACCATTTAATAATAAAGTATCATTTAAACCAGTATCACTAAAATTACTAGCAACACCATATGTATTAATATCATCCATTCCATCGTTTGTATCGGAATTTGTTGGTAATGGTGTTGTTGTTGACATTGTTGTTGTACGTATTAATGTTTTTGTTGATGTTTTTGGTGTTCGATTTGATGATGATGAATGATGACCACCACCACCACCACGAGATTTAGATTTAGTTGTACGAATTGTTGGTTGTGCAGTTGTTATCAATTTTCCAGTTGTTGCACCAGTTGATGCTGATGGTGGTGTTGTTGTTGACATTAATGATGAATCGCTAGTAGTTGTTGCGGCAGCTGCTGCTGCTGCTGCCGCTAATGGTGGCTGAATACCACATAATTTTTCACGTAAATCTCTTGGTATCATTGAATCTTTAATAACCGATGAATTACTCATACAAAGTGCTGAATAACGTACAATATTTAGATTACAAACAGTAACAGCTGGAAATTGTAAACGACGACTATCACGTAATCGTACATCAACCGTAATTGGATATGTATAATATTCCGATACTAATTGTGATATATCACGTAATGCCAAAAAACCAAAGAAAAAAAATGAACAAATCCAAAACATACGACGTACGAATGATTGTGATAATGCTATATCACGAACACCAGGTACCGATGATTCACCAAACAAACGTATTAGATTTGATGGTGGCATATAATTAAAACTATTCAATCCATTTGTATGCATTTTTCGACGATTATTATTTAAACCATATATATTATTTGGATTATTATTATTATTTAATGTTGTCGGTTGTATACGATATAATACACGATATGGAAGATTTCTAGCCATCATTGGTTGTGATCCAAGCACAGATTTTGTTGATATTTTATCTTGTTGTTGTTGTTCATCAACAACATCTTTTAAATCAACATTATTCATGGCTGATAATGGTTTTGGAAATTGAACACAATCTTCAGATATTAATCGATCAGCTGTTATTGTTTCTGATTCGGATAATCTTTGTTGTTGTTGTTGTTGTTGTGGATGATTAGGCCATGATCGATCATTATTATTCTGTGCAGTCATTAATACCTGACTGAAACCGGGTTTTTTTCTACCATTCATTGTATGAATTGTAGCCGTTCTTGAATCGGTTATACGAAATAATTTTCGTTGCTGTTGAACATTATTATTATTATTAATATTGTTATAATTAACAAGTTTATCATCATTATCATCATCATCATCATCATTATCATAGCAAATTATTCGATCATTATTTTTGATTTTATCTGATCGTTTAGACATTGTAATCGAATGATCATCGATGACTAGTGATGAACCAAAGTGATCATTTTCTTTTTGTTTTTACTTCTTAGATCAAGAATTTTTCGCCTTATCGTGGTGATGGTGATGACCCAAATACAAATGGAAATAACCAAAATATTTATTCAATCATTATGACAGGTAATTCATTTTATTTCTAATTTGTTTGTTTGTTGCAATTATCCTAATTGGATAATTTCAATTGTCAATATCGGTTCGAAATGTATGAAAACAACAACCAAAAACATTCCATAAGAATTCACTATTTTTTTGGTTGTTGTTGCTCATTTGTTCATGTGATGATCGATGATGATTAATTTGCCATGACAGATTGACACATTATGGATGTCTAATTAATTCAACAAAATCTATTGATGATGATTGCTCATCATTATCAACATCGGTAATTCCAAAATTCTTTTGATAGAAAAAAAAACATATATGAACGGATTGCATTTGATCAAGGACAATCAATATTTTTCATTTGAAATCACAATATAGGATTGCCAATATAACACGTGGATAACATCTTTACAAGCGTTGTTGACAAGCGGAACAAACAGAAAAATATTGGAAAGTCCCCGTCCAGATTGTTCAATTTTTATATATTGATTTTTAATAATAATAATAATAATTAACATATTCTTAATCTTCAATAAATCATCACTTTTTTTTCTTAATTCTTCGTTTTTTTCCGATTATCATCAAATTTTGAAAAAAAATCATCAACATTTTTTTTTCATTTTGGCAACTATTTTGACAGATGTTGATTTGAAATGTTGAAACACGTTGATACATTCGAATACAAGAACATATTCCATTCTTTTCCCTTTCTCTCCTTTAACTTGAACTTCAATCAATGTCATTTCACATTCAATGTTTTTTTCATTTTCTTCTTTGATTATCAATATGTAAATGTCCATGGAAATTTTATTATTTTGATATCGATGAAATCAATAAGTCACGATGTTTTCATCAACATCATTACATTCGATCTATCTGATGATTTGTTACAGTATATTGTCGGCAAAGCCAGATTCTTATATTTCAGCAACAACAATTTTCGTTTGTTTGTTTGTTTGTTTAAAATATCGTTGAGCATCATCTAATCAATATTTGGCCAGGTACATTACCTTCATGAAAAATCAAAATTTTTTATTATTCATATCTTTTTTCAGGATTCATTTTAATGATAATGATGATGATGATGAACACGACAAATTTTTATCAAGTCAATAACAACAACAACAACAACAAAAGAAAAGAAGATATTGTTTTTCTATTCAATATTATGGAATGTCATTGATATCATCATCATTATCAATGATAATGTGCGAATGAATGAATCAATATGGTAAATGTTTTTTTTTCGATTGTGTTTGGAACAGCGTTCGAACTAACAAAGACATGATGTTGTTGATGATAAAATTGTTATAAACAAAAGATTTTTTTTTCTGCTTTATTATCATCAATATCATCGTTCGTTCGTTCGTTCGACGACCGGTACCAATCAAGGCAAAGAAAAGATCATCATTTTTGGAGTTGATAATTAGAGTTAAAATCAAATTGGTGGCCAACATTATCATTAAAAAAAAAAGTTTTATTGATCTAAAACAAAATATGGTCATTCGAATTTCCATCTAAATAAGGGTATTTTTTGACAGTTAATTTGGTATCATAAAAACAAAAACAAAGAAAAATTTTTTTCGATAAAGTTTCCCAAAAATAGCAACAACAACAACAACGACAACCCTATCAATAATTTATCTATATTTGGAATTTTTTTGTTCGTTCGGTACAATCAATTTTCCAATGAAAAAAAAAATTCTCCAATCAGATACATTCATCAAGAATTCATCATCATCATATCATTGATAATCTTTTTTTTCATTTTGCATAATTTTTCTTATCTAGTAGTTAAAATATTCATGATTTATCTCTTCACGCAAACAAACATATACACACATATTCTTTGGAAAACACATTATCGACAAAAAAAACATAACATAACTCTTAAGACTTTAGCATCATCATCAACGTAAGCATTTCTTACTTTTACAACCAAAAAAAAAAATTTTTGATTAATTTTAACAAACGAACGAACGAAAAAACAATATGATAAACGATCATAAATTTATTAATTAAATTTTTCCAATAAATATTGTTTTTTTTTTCGGTTTTGGTAGAAAAAAATGATGATGATGATCATCAAATATCATCATTATTGATGATGATGATGACCAACCTTGATTGAATGAATGTCCGGATGCAGCAATAATCATATAATAATGATGATGATTGGTGATGATTTGCAATTCGATTGCCCATCACCAAAAAAACATCATCATTTTGTTTTTTCATTAGCATTTTTTTCTTCTTCTGTTTGATTTGCGTTGATTTTTTTTCTGAAATAGCAAAGACATTAATCCCATCACACACACTCACATGACCATTAAACTTGTTGTTGTTGAATATATTGGATATAAACAAAAACAAAACAAAAAAAGATTATCATCAAATTTTCGGGTTTTTTTTCCTATACGAAAAACAATAATTGATTAAACCAATCAACCAACCAGCAAAAAAAAAATTTTCCAAATTTGTTTTTAGGTGCGGTTCCATCATCATCGTCGTTGGAATTCATTTATTAATTATGCAAAATCTTCGAAAGGGAATCGATGATTGATAATTGAATGATTGTCATTAACACTGACACACACACACACAGTGACTTATGGCCATTGTCTATGAAATGGATGAGAAAAAAAAATGTCTGGAATGAAAAAAAATGATGATTACATCAGTTGATAATAATCATCACTTTCATAATTAAATTAAATATCAATAATTTTTCCATTGAAAAAAACGAATATTTTTTTCTTTTTTTGCTTCAAAAAAAAAATACCTCAACAAACTTACCTTGAAAGAATGATTATCCATGAAGACTCTTTTCACGTTTTTTAATTGATATTTGTTTTCTTTCAAATAGAAAATCTCCATCTTTCTCTATCTCTCTCTCCTTTTGCATTTGAACACTTATTGAAGTTTTATGCAATTATAATTTTGTATGTTTTTTTTTTGTTTTTCACTATTCATTTCTTACTTATATAATTCATCATTATTTTCAGAAAGAAAGAAAGAAGAAGAAAAAAACATTTTCTTCAATTGAATTAACATTTGGATTTTTTTTGTTTTTTTTCGTTGTTGCACGTACAATTTGACAAGTTCCGTTCAAAAAAGAAATGATGATTGGAATTTGTTTTCATTTTTGAATCCATAAATATATATAGATATCGATTATTATTCTGATCATCAGATAATGTTGTTGTTGTTGTTGTCGTCGTCTCTTTTCTTTCTTAATTGACATTGATAAATGTTTTTTTGTTGTTGTTTTTCTTCTGTACAAATCACAAGATTTGTACATATATGTAGAAAATGCATAAACATTACATTTCTTTTATTATTATATGGTGATGGGAAAAATCAACCAAAAATGATCGAATCGAATCAAAATTGTCATCAATTTCTTCTTGCTCGATAACCTTGAATGGTTCCGTAAATGATAATTTTTTTTTCAAAAAAAAAAATTATTGACGAATATCATTCATTCCTGTTGACAATTAATATTTGGGAAACAAAAAAAAATTGATTTCAATTATCCAATTTCATTGTGTGCGAATACAAACGAAATAAATAAAAAATGAATCAAAACGGATGGATTTCATTTTTTTAAAGAAAAAAAAATGAGGAAGCTTCTGTCATACAAACAAACATTTACAAGGATCATTGTCATTAGCCAAGTGTAATGATAATGATAATTATGATGATGATGAGTATTTCATTCGTCCATTCTCATCATCATCATCATTTTAATAATAAAAAAAACTTCTTTAACACTACAATGGACAAAGCAAAAAGAAATGGAAAGTGAAAAAAAAACATAAGTAAGTAAATTCATATCTATCTTACCTATTTAGACACACACACAATGACTCAATTATGTTAAAATCACAATGTGTTTTCCATTTTTTTTAACACCTTGAAAGATGATTGTAAATAGACAAAGTGAGTGAGTAAGAGATAGGTCATTATCATTATCGTTTTTTTCTTCTCTTTTCTTCTTCTTCATTCCATCATTTCTTGTAATGTTTGTTTCAAATGGGGGGATAAACAAACCAATCAGATCTAATAAATTCAATGAAAAACAGAATATCCCTTTGATTTTTGTTGTTTCGGAATATCACATAATAGAATTATGGCTTTTCCTTAATCTCGAAACAAAAAATTCCGGATATCAGAAAGAAAACGAAACGAAAAATTTCTTTGATTAAAAAAAAACCACTTGACATTTTAGAAATATTTTGGTATTTAGCATGTTATTCAATTGAAGATATTTTCATTTTCTTCTTTTTTACAACATGTCATTGAAAATTTGAAAGAAATTGATGAAAACAACAACAACAACATTTACGTTGAATGAATAAATTTTTTTTCATCATCATCATTTTAGTTGGAGAAGGGGGAAGGAAAAGACATTTATAAAACGAAAAAACATACACACAGGTGCTTATAAGAAAAAAAATTTTTTTTGTTTTGTTTTCAAAATTTTGAATTGGTAAATGAATTGAATTGATGGATGGATGGATGCTACCAGAAGATAGTCATGATGATAATCATCATCATCATCATCATCATTTTCGAACGAATAAAGAATATACGAAGGAGACTATATCTACACTGTGTGGTCATTCGAACACTGAACACTGTTGCCAACATTAGGTGTTCCAAACTATTCAGTTTTGGGGAAATTTTTGTTTTTTGTTTTGTTTTGTTTTAGAACGTGCCCACTTCCGACACATACAAACAAACGTATTCTTCAGATATTTTGAATGTTTTTTTTTGAAATTTGTAAAAAGCATATAACACATTAACATTAACAACCAGTAGAATGATAATAAAGAGATGGTGATTGTACATTATGAGCTATGTTGGAAATTTCTTTGTCAAAAAAAAAAGAGGTGTTCCATTATCGATCATTGGGAATGGGTTGGCATTTTTTCATTTCATTTCATTTCACCAAAATCAATAATAAAAAACATTAATCATTGATCACCCTCTTGGATTCATCATCATTCTGTTTTATTCATGTGATTTTTGTTGTTGTTGAAACAAATTTGAATTGAAAAACGATATAAAAAGCTAATGTTTATGGAATTGTGATTGGTTTTTTTTAAATTCATTATTCGAGCAAAACAAAAAATTTTTCGAATGTTTCAATCATCATGTGATGTTTTATTGAATTGATCGATTGATTTTTAGTGATTATTATCGCTTTATTTTTTTCTGAATTTTAAATTTTGGCGGGAATTTTTTTTCGTTGAAAATCATGGCATTCAAATCTATTGTGTGTTCATTATCATCATCATCATCACGATTATCATTTGAATTTTTATTAATTTTAATAATTTTTATTGTGAATTTTATTCGAGCTCAAGATATTGATCGTAAGTTATTGTCAAGTTTTAATGAAAAATAAATTTAAATTTCTTTCTTTTCTTGTTATTCTTCAATTTTCTAATGATTTTTTTGGAAAAATTTTAGGTGAAAATAGATGTTCGAATGAAGGTTTTTTTCGTGATCCAAATGATTGTGTAAAATTTTATCGTTGTACACGTGATGAAGGTGCAGATTTTTTTCGTGTCTATGAATTTGCTTGTGGTCCGGGTACAGTATTTGATCCAACAATAAGTGTTTGTAATCATCCAAGTTCATCACCACCATGTGACAATAATCAACAACAACAACAACAACTGCCCGATTATAATGCTGCCAATCAACAACAACAGCCACAACAACAACAAAATGATCAGTATTCATCACAGCCACAACAACAACAACAACAGCCATCACAAAATAATTATTATGAACAACCAAGTATTATTCCTGCCCCATATCCACAACCATCATCTGAACAGCAATTGCCAAATAATGCTGGCTATCCTGTATCAATACAACAACAACAACAACAACCTGGATCGTCAAATACAAATCAAGATGAATGGACATCTGCTAATAGACAGCCGCCAAATCAATCTCCAACCAATCAATATCCAGATCATCGTGATTATCTACCCGAACAATTCGGTGATCCACCAAGTCAACAGCCACAACAAGAGCCAGAATCTCCACCACAAGAAGAACAACAACAGCCAGAATCCCCACCACAATCATCAGAACAAGAACCAGAATCTCCACCACAAGAACAACAACAGCAACCTGAATCTCAACCATCACAGCAACAGCCAGAGTCCCCACCACAAGAACAACAGCAACCAGAATCCAATGTTGAACAACAATTGACCAATATGGATGAAGATGAAATCGCACCAGAAGATGAAGATTGTAATTGTAAACCAGTATCATCCATATTCCAATGTAAACAGGAAGGAAAATTTGCTGATCAAAAAAATTGTAAAAATTTCTACCGATGTACCAATGATAATAGTGGTGGATTCATTGCCGATCAATTCGAATGTGATATGGGCAATGCATTTGATGAAAGTATAGGAAAATGTGTTCCTGAATCACAATCCAAATGCAAATCAGGTTTGTTTTGGATATATGATTGACAAATTGTGATTATTGATCATCATCATCAATTTTTTTTCATTAGATGCTGGTAAACCATCACCAAATGGAACAAAATCCAAATCAAAAACATCACCCGAAAAAGAAAACATTGCTGAAGGTTTTTTATTCATTTTTCTATTTGAAATAATTAATTGATTTTGTTTTTTCTTATTTGAAATTATAGAACCTGAACCGGTAGAAAAATCACCTGATGAACAAATGTCAACTACGGCAGCGCCAACAGATGAAACTGAAACAACTCCAGCAAGTGATGATGATGAAACTAAACCAACAGAAGATTCCACAAGTGAAGCAACAACTAGTGAACCCAGTACAGATTCGACTGAATCAATGACTGAACCTACAACTGAATCATCATCATCAACAACAACAACCGAATCAAGTGAAGAAACAACCGAATCTACAACAAAAGAACCATCAACAGAATCGACTACAGAATCTGCAGATGATAAAACTGAATCAACAACTCCCACCAATGAGGAATCGACAACGCCACAACCATCAACTGATAACACAGAGGCAACCACTAAACCAAGTGATGAAACTGAAGCCACAACAGAACCTTCGAGCGATAAAACTGAATCAACAACTCCCACCAATGAAGAATCGACAACACCGCAACCATCAACTGATGGTACAGAGGCCACAACCAAACCAAGTGATGAAACTGAGGCCACCACAGAACCTTCTAGCGATAAAACTGAATCAACTGATTCAAATGAAACAGAAGGTACTACAACACCATCTTCAGATGAAAAATCAACAGAATCTACAACCATGGAACCTGATGCTGAACTACAATCAACACCAGAATCAGTGGAAAAGACATCCGATTTAATGGATGAACAAAAACCTGAACAATCACCGGAAGAAGAGAATGAAACAAAACCTGACGATCAAATGGAACAGACACCAGAATCCGAAGAAGGTCCACAACAAGAACAACAAAAACCAGAAGAAATACCCGAATCTGAAGAGGCTCCTGTTGAACAACAATCACAAGATATTCCAGCTAATGAACAAATAGAACCAAGAGCTCAAGAACCGGGAACCAAAACGCCATCCTCAGAACAGCCTATCGAACAAGAATCAGAAACCAATTATCCAAATGAGCCACAATATCCACAAACAAATAATGATCCATCGTATATGGATCGTGTTCAACAACAACAACCAATTGAACAATCCATAGCTGATGAAAATATTGATCTTCAGCCTGTTCAACAACAACAAAAGCCCTTACCACAAGAAAATGAAAATTTCAATGAAAATGATCCATATAGTAATAGTGGTGGTGATGCAGCCAATCAATTCTATCCACAGCCATCATCTGGTGATGGAATTCAATGTACGAAAAATGGATTTTTCCGTCATCCAAATGATTGTGCGGCATTTTATCGATGTCATGAAGGTCGACGATTCGATTTCCGTTGCGGACCAGGTACCTATTTCGATGAACGCTATAGTGTATGTAATTGGCCTGATCAAGCCTATCCACCTTGTCCAAGTGGTGGTCAAGAATCGAATGTACCATCCAATGATCAAGATCAATCACAACAATTAGGTCAATTTCCTTCAGATAATCCATCACCACAATATCCATCACAAGAACCAGTAATTCAACAACAAAAAGAAGAACAACCATCACAAAATGAATTTCCAATTCAAGATAATTATGGTCAACCATTATCACAAAATCCAAATCAAATTGAACCGATTGAACAGCAGAAACAAGAAATACCTAATGATTATCCACCGCCTTCATCACCAAATGATAATCAACAACCACCTGTGCCATATCAACCAATGATGCAGCCACCTACCAAAAATTCATATCCACAGGAACAAGAATCTCAACCATTATCTCCGCAACCACCAAATGATAATCAGCAGCCGCCTACCAAAAATTCATATCCACAAGGACAAGAATCTCAATCATTATCACCACCACCTCCGCCTAAATCGATAAAAAGTCCTCCTTCAGTTAAAAATCCAGTAAAAAGTCCACCGCAATCTCAAGCCCTTGCTCCTGTAAAAAGTCCCAAAAAATCGGCACCGTTAAAAGCACCACCACCCAAAGCTCAGGCTAAATTACCTACAAAATCTCCAAAGAAATCACCGCCAAAGTCGAATAATAGAAATCCGAGACCAAAATCTCAACCACCAAAAAAATCACCGGTAAAATCTGCTCCTTTAAAACAAAAACCAAAGCCAAAACCAAAACCAGCTGCTAAACCGAAAACTCCACCACAAAAATCACCAGCCAAATCTGCGCCTATTAAGCAATCACCAAAACCAAAATCACCAGCTAAAAGTCCACCAAAAAATAGTCCATTAAAACAGAATCCAAAGAAAAATCCACCATCTTCAAAGCCAAAATCTTCGGCATCATCAGCAAAACCAAAACCAAAGCCTAAAACAACACAAAAACCGAAATCACCAATTTCACCTGCCAAAAAAGCCCGTTTACAGAATGATAAACCAAATTCTGAAACGATGATATCACAGCAACGTAAACGACAAGTTACACCTGCTCGTGTTTCACCATTCAAGCCAAATGTAAAGCCAAAATCCAATCAATTACGACGACAACCAAAACAAATATATGATAATCAACCATCAACATTTCAATGTTTAACTGCAAATGGATTTTTCCCTGATCCAAATGATTGTTCAATGTTTTATCGATGTGCCGATTATCGACGATTCCATTTTGCCTGTCCACAAGGTTTATTTTATGATGCATCATTAGAAAGCTGTAATTGGCCGAATAAAATTCAACCACCATGCCGTAAACGATAATTTACAATCATTTACAATAACCACTATTTTTTTAACAGATTGAACAGATTAATTGATTGTAATTTATTGAATTGAAAAAAAAAATAAATAAATCCATTGACCGAAAATATCTTAATTCAAACAATAGTTTAATTTTAAAAAAATATATATTTTTTATTAAAAAATTTCCATTAAAGGATGGCAGCACTGGGTCTAAAATCCAAAACAAATTGCCATTCATTTTTCCAAAATGTATATTCAAATAATTTAAGATTATTTACAAGGTAACATCAGTCGTTATTGTCGTCGTAACCGAAGGTTCAGTAGTAATTATTGTATTTGAATTTTCCGTAGAATCTTCCGTTGATATTGTTGTTGTGAATATGATTGTATTCTCTGGAACACTATTCATTGTTGTTGGTATATTATCATCAATATCCATACTGCTCATTGTTGTTGTTGTCAACAACTGTGATGGTGTTGATGAGGATTCTTTAGCATCTTTATTATTGATTTTCATTTTCATTTTTTCCTGTTCAGCCATTAACATCATTTTAATAAATTCTTTACGATCCATTGTTTTAAGCATATGTGCTTTTGATACATAATTCGGTGGATATTGTGGACGCATTGATGAAGAACCAGATGATGATGATGATGATGATGAATATGGATCACCCTTTACTAATTTAATTTGTGGTGGCCTGAATAATGATGACGATCCTCTTTCTCCACCACCACCACTACCACCTCCTCCACCTTTCTTTCCAACTGGACTGATAAGATTTGATGTTCGCTGATGTTTATCCGATACATCACACAATTCCTTATTGTACAAAAAAAACAAATTTTTTAATAATTAATTCAATTTGATTGACAGCAAACATACTTGTTTATATTCAATATCAAATCCACGACCATTACCAAATGCATCCGATGTAAATTTGATCAATGCAATTTTATGTCCATTATGCATGTCGAATGGTATTATAACTGTTTTGTGTAATTTTAGCAAAAAACGAAAAAAATAAGGAATTATTGATAACGATGCACCAAACACACACACTTACATTCATTTTGTTCGAATTTATTGCCACATAATTTTTTTGTATCAGAAATCTGTAGCCAATCTTTTTCACATTGTATACGGCTATTATCGGTTGATGATGATGATTCAATATCCAAATCTTGAATTTTCAATTTAACATTACAATATTCTTGACCAATAGCCTGTATTCTATATACACATTTTGTATAATCACCATATGATGCTGGATAATTTGGACTTTTTATATGACCACGATAATTTCCTACGGATATATCACATACAGTGGGCATTGTTAATGTTGGCTCTATTAATAGAAAATTGTAACCAAAAAATGATCGTTATAAAAATCCCGAATAGACCATTTATATGACTTACTTAATGTTGGCAAAGGTCTGTCACAATCATTATCAATTTGTTCAACATTTATACGAAATTTACCACGATTCATTGATGATGATTTACTCGATATAAAATATATAACTTTTTCATATTCATTCGGCATAAAATGATAACGGCCTATATTTTGGGGAAAAAAAATATTAAATTTTCTTCAATTCAGAATTGATTTGATCACATACGTTCATGACCCACAGGAAATGCTCCACATATTCTGCTCGAATCAATTTCCAAATATTCATCTTCACATTTTATTGCTTCATTTAGATGAAATAATTGAAATTTCATATCTAAAGCACATACATTATTATTAGCTTTACGAATTGTATAACGACAACGTTCAATCGTATTAAAATTCGAATCATTTGGATTTTCAATATGAAAATTCATTTCATTTTCAATCAAATCACAATATGGATTAAATGATGATGTTTCGGATGTTGGTGGTAAAGATTTTTGTTGATTTTTTTCCATTCTATTTGAATTTTCATTAATAGGATTATGTTGTTGTTGTTGTTGTTGTTGTTGTTGTCTCAATATTGTTCGAAATGGTTTGACGGTCATATGATGATCATCTGTTTGATGCATTTTCCATTCATTTTGTTTATTATTACCATTATAATAATGGTGATCGGATAATTGTTGTTGTTGTTGTTGTTGTTCATCGATTTGTTCGACAATATCGCCGTTGACATGTTGTTGTTGCTGTTTTATAAATGGATTTGTTTTCATTGATTGTTGTTGTTGTCCTTTAATCGGAAATTGATTGCCGTCAGAATTTTCATTCGATATTGGCCGTGATATATGATGATGATCAACAACATTGTTTGTAGCACATTCAACTTGTCTAAATTTAATTTCAAATTTATTATCATCGATATGATGATGATCATCAATATCCATTAGATTGACAAATAAATAGATTTCTGATCGTTGAAACCAGAATCGTTTTGTTGTTGTTTCATGAATTTTTCCACAAATTTTTTCACCATCAACTGATAAATATTGATGATTACAGCTACTATCATTAAGATTATATTTCATAAACATTATATCCAATTGACAGACATTTGTTTTTGCTTTTCGTATGTGTAGATGACACATTGCTCCACCATCATTCATTTGTAAATCTGTACTTTTTAATTCAAAATAGATTTTATCTACAAATGTTTGTTCACATAGTTTATTCGATGTTTTAGTTGATTGACGATCATATTGTTGTTGTTGTTTTGGTTGTATCATTGGTGCCGTTGTTATTGTTATATAATCATCATCATCATCATGACGCTGTTGTGATGGTCGTATTGTTGTTGTTGTTTTTATCATCATTGAATAATCATTGTTGTCCATTAGTTTCTTTTGTACATCTTTATCTTCATTAACTACTGTTATATTTGGACTATAATATCGTACGGGATATTTTTTACGTTGTTCTTCATGTTGTTGTTGTTGTTGAATTGGAAATCTTTCCGGATTTGTTGGATTATTATTGTCCAAATCTTCATAAATAACATGTGATTCCATAACAGTAGCTCTATTTCTAGTATTAAATTCTGAAATTATTTCATCATCATCATAAAGAAATGGACTTTTAGTAATTGTAGTGGTGGATGGTTTTCGATTTGATGATTTAATTAATTTTTTTAAATTTGTTTTCGATGAAATAACACCAGAATGATCAGATGATTTTGATACATCATCATTGATATTCGATTTTTGATGTGGAATAGCTGGCCGACCAGGAATACAATCAACTTGTTCTAATTGCAGATGAAATCCATTTGCCGTTTGTTGTTGATTCGAATGAAAATGTAATAAAAGTTTTTCCTGTAAAAATGGTATCTCTTCTACCAAAACAAAAAGAAAAGAACTTTAGATAAATTTCTGAGTAGAAAAAAAACATAACTTACTCGATGTATGTTGATCAAGAACACCACAAAATCTTGTATTAAAAATATCCAAATAATCACCACGACAATTACCATCTTCACCAACAACATTAAAATAAGTAAATGTTACTTTCAAACGACAAACATTTGCACTATTTTTCCGTATCAAATATGAACAATCTAAACGATCAAAATAACGATATGGATAACCAGGTGATTTGATTTCAAACATTTTATCATCAAATGTTTGATCACAATAAATTTGTTCATTTTGTACATTGATTATTGATGTTTTTTTCGGTATTGAAGCGGATTTTTCCACGACAATAGATTTTGTTGCCGATTGAATATTTGATATTTGATTCGATATTGATAATGGCGATGATGGTGGTGGTGGTGGTGGTGGTAATGGTATTTGTGTATCAACTAAACACGGTAATTGTGTATAGCTTGCACGAAATCCTTTAAATGATGGTTTTACCATTGCACCACGACTACTAGTCATCATACGTATAGTCAAATCATCTTTTCGTTTATTCATCAAAATCATTGAAACATCTTTAAGCTGATGACCACAATAACGTATTCCATTTATTTCTAAATAATCTTGATTACATTCATGTGAATAATCAAAATCAAATTCAATAAAACGTAATTGTGCCAGGCAATTATCCGGTAATGGTGTTATACGATATGTACAATTTACATTTGGTGGATAAAAATTTGGATAATCATATGATTGTATATGGCCAGTTACTTCGGTTACACAAATTTCACAAATTGATGGTAATGATGGTAAAAATATAAAATTATTATTATTATTATTATCAGCTGATGAACTTGAAATTATTCGTTGTTGTTGTTGTTGATGATCTTGATTTAGATAATTTTTCAATGGTTCATGATTCGATATTAATGTATCACAATCAATTTGTCTGGCCTGTATCATAAATCCTTTTCGTGGTCGAAATGAAACACTTCGAAAATATATACGTTTTTCTGGTTCAAAAAATGGTAACTGCACTACGGATTTTGGTGAATTTGTATTACAATATTTAACATTATCAATAAGCAGATAATCTTCCATACATTTTTCCGATGGTTCAATATCAAAATCATTAAAATATAATTCCAATTTACAATAACGACTATTTCGTCTTTGTATGGTGTATACACAGCTTAAACTAGGTAAATAATATTGTGGATAATTTGGACTTTCAAATTCAAAATATGTTGAACCAAATGTTTGTTGACAGATTTGATTAGCATGATATATCTGATATGGTGAAAATGGATCATCTTTCATCATCATTGATGATGATGATGATGGTTTACGTTTAACACTAAAATCATTGGTGTTTGGTGGACATTCATTTTGACGAATTTTTAGATAAAATCCACGTCCATTGATTAATGGATCGGCAAAAAAACTAATAGTAAATTCATTATCATAAAATGGAAATAATCGTACACTATCTTTAGCTATTTGACCACATTGTTTAATACCATTAAAGCTTAAATAATCTTTTTTACAATCAATACTTGATTGTAAATCAAATTCAATAAAATGTACTTCAAGAAAACAAACATTTATACCGGGTGTTTTAAATTTTACTATACGATAATCACAATATGTATTCGATGGATATGATGATGGATATTGTGGACTTTGTATATCGAATGATGAACTCATAAATATTCGGCTACAATGATGTTGATGATTTATTGATGATGATGGTGATTTGTTTGGCTGTTGTGTATTGAATGATGGCGATGATGATGAACATTCTATTTGACGAATATAAAGCCGAAATCCTTTATCAAATGATGTACGAAATGAATCCGAATGAAAATGTATGAAAAATGTTTCATTCGAACGAAATGTATACAATTTTGATTGCAATTCATTCATTTTTCCACAAAATTGTTCCTTATTATCAAAATCAATAAAATCTGATTTTAAACAATTTTTTTCAAAATCATATGGCTGTAATTCAAATGAATCAAAATTAATTTCAATTTTACAAACATCCATACTGAACGGTATGATCATAAAAAGACAATCCAAATCAGGTGGATAATTATCCGGAAAATTTGGACTATGTATGAAAAATTCTTTTTGTCGAAATGTTTTTGAACATAATAAACTATTATGTGATTGATGATTTGATTGTTGTTGTTGAAATTTTCTTTCCAAAATTAATGGATTATCAAATTCGGATGCAGTTGTTGTTTGATGAAGAAATATATTTTCTTGTTGTTGCAACAATAATTGTGTTGTATCATTTGAATCTGTTGCTGGTGGTTGTACAAATTGTTGCTGCTGCTCAAATTTATATTGTTCTAAACTTTGTAATCTTTCTTCTTTTTGATCTTCATTATTATTAAGATGATTATCATTATTTTCACGAATAATACGATCACCTTGACATTCTAATTGTTCAGTATGTATTCGATAACCTTTACGTTCATTAGTTGAATCCGTATGAAAATTTATAATCATTTCATTTTTATCAAAAACATAAATCCTACTGGTTTCCTGATTCAATGTACCACATAATCGTACGGCACTACCAATTTCCATATAATCATATTGACAATCTTGACTTGCTTCTAGATCAAATTGTTTGAAATGCATTTCCAAATAGCAAACTTTATTCGAATATTTTTTTATTGTAAAATGGCAATCTACACAGATAATTAAGTGAAAAAGAAAATGATAAGGAAATAAAAAACATTTGATAGCAAAAATCTAATAAATAAATAATAAAAAACAAACATACTTTGATTTGCCTTATAAAGTCCATCATTAGTTAGATCACTAATTAGATCAAATTTTTTATCCTGATATGTTCGCATACATGGTTCCATAATAATATTATTGATATTATTATTGGTTGTTTTTTCATTCGTATGAATCGTTTTCGATAATGATTCCAATGAATCCATAATAACATCATTATTATTAACCATTTGTTTACATGGTAACTGTGTATAATTCAATAGAAAACCTTTACCATTTTCATTGCTATCACTTTTGAATAAAAATCTGATGAAACCATTATTATTGAATGGAATTAATTTTTGTTTGTTTTGTAATGATTGGCCACAATAACGTTCATTTTGTATTTCGAAAAAATCCGAATTACAATCACGTGTATTTTGTAGATTAAAATCAAGAAAATTCATTTCAATACTACAATAATGACCGTTTGGATTTCGTTCAATAGTATATGCACAAAGTAAATCATTTGGATATGGATCCGGATATTTTAGCGTACTAAGTTTTCCTTCACGTTCATGCCATATGATGCTGCATTTTTGTTGTCGGCCACCTTGATTAATCGCACCAATTGAAGTTTCCATTGGCATAAATGCATTACGACAATCATCCAATTGTCGTATTTTAATATGAAAACCAGGACCATTCACCTGGCTATCCGTTTGAAATGATATTGATTTGATAGCCTGATCAAAATGAAATATATTCCGTGAACCATTTGGTAAATGGCCACAAAAATTTTCACCATCAATTTCGAAAAAATCATATGCACAACCTTCTGATTCTTCAATATCAAAATGTAAAAATTTCAATTCTAAACCACAAATATTATCCGAATATCGTTGTATATAATGTATACAATCTAAATTATTACTATAATTTCGTGGATAATTTTTACTTTTAATTTCAAATTCCAATTCATTATGACGTATTTGACAATAATTATCCGATACCGGTAATGATGATGAACTGGATGTTAACATTTCAATTGACGAATCTATTGAATGATTATTTTTATTTTCCAAATTTTCCATATTTTTCATCTTCATTTTATCACAAGTATCGAATAACGGTTTATATTTAATATTAAAACCACTTGAATGTACCACACGATCAAGTACAAGTCTATATGATAATAGATATATTCAAGTTTAATTATTGTAATTATAGAATAATAAGAAAATTATAATTGATGATAAAAGAAGAAGTTTACTCTTACCTAAATACAAAATCTTTTTCATAATTTGGATCCAAATCAACAATATCCATACGATTATTCCAATCATTATGGCAATAACGTTTTCGATTATTAAATTCAAGATAATTATCTAAACAGCTATTATGAGATGCTATTAATTGTTGAAATTCTTTTTCCACTTTAGGTGGTTCATTATTGTCATTATCATTATCATTTTGTTGCTTTTGTTGAAGTTCACTACGCATATCGGTCACATCAAAATCATTGAAATGTAATTCAACACTACAAATGGTTGAATCGATCGGTGTAATACGATAAACACAATTAACATTTTGTGATGGATCACCAAAACTGGTTAAATTTCCTTCATTTGATATTAACCAAAATTCACATTTATTTGCTGTTGTTGTTGTTGAAATAGTCGTCGTCGTTGTTGTTATTATAGGCGACATTGTTGTTGTCATTCGAACGTTTTTAATATCAACATTATCTATTGATGATTATTGTGGAAAAAATCAAATCAAATCAAAAAAAAAACATGAAAATCGCATCAACAAACGCTGATGTACTTTTTTTCCTATTATTCTGCTTATTCAAAATTTCATTGATCCAAGAAAGTATTAATTAGTTATTTCTGGTCCAAAGAAAAGTTAATTAAACCGAAAAAATTGAGTGAAAATCTTGGTATTTTGTTTCTCGATCAATTGATCCAATCGGATTTTATTTCAATCTCAAATCAAGATAAAGAAATAGAAATTCAAAATCCGAAAAACCAAAAAAAGAAGAAATTAACCATAACAACAACAATTTAAATATTCACATCACATATTTCTTTTCTTTGTTTTTTTTCGCTATTGTGACAAACCGACATTTTGACCTGAATTTTTGAAGATAAACAACGAAAAAAATTGTCATCAAGTTGTTGTTGTGGTCGAAAATTACATATTATATAATTAACTAAATTGAAAAAAAAGTAAAAGTAATCATCAACATCGACCTCGACAATGAAAAATTATTATTCGACTTTAACTTTTTTTTTCAATCATAATCATATTTAGAATGGCTACTGCTGCTGCTGTTTTGTTGTTTATAATGATACTTTACTTATTTCATTAAAATGAAATAAAATAAGATCAAGTCAAGATGTTGTTGTTGTTGTTGCTGTCCAAACCAATTAGCATGATAATTTACATTTTTTTCGTTTCATTTGAAACAAACTTCATAAAGTAACTTCTGAATGATTTTTGGCCAGATGCTTCTCCTGTATATTATGTATGTATGTGGCTTTATGGTATGCACATCTGCATAATGTTAATCTAATTTGGTTGGTTGTTTTTAGCAGAAACAGAAACTCGTAAATATTTTTTTTCAACAAAAAACAACAAAAACAAAACAAAACATTTTTTTTACATCCAAAAAAGACTATTTAGACAAATAGACAGGCAGTTGGACATATAATTAGTTAATTACGTAATTTTTGTTTGGACGTAATCAATAGAATGGTTTTGCCAAAACAAAACGAAAAAGTTTATGTCAAATGTTTTGTTTTTCTTCAGTGTTTTAGGTTTTGGACAAAGCAAACGAACGATGAATGTGTCAAATGGTCAATCTCCTTTAGCAGCAGAAGAAAAAATCACCAATTTTTTGTTGCCGAAAGAAAATGTTTAAGATAATTAAATTTTGCGCAAAACAAAATCAGTTCATTTAATCAACGAAAAAGACAATGGTCCCTGTTTGGACAAAATTAAATTTTTTTTTTCACTTTAAAAAAAAATCAGAATTTTAAAATTATCATCATCATCAGTTGATGATGAGGATAATGAGGAATTTCACAACATTTCATTTGAAATGATGAATTTCTTAACATTTTGTTTTCTCCCAAAACAAAACAAGAAGAAAAAAATTCGTGCCTGCTTGTTTATTATATAACGAGCGCGGTTATTTATTTATTTATCGTTTCGTGCACGCAATAACACGTGCAACATACATTCATTATTTTAGTTTAGTTGTTTTTTGACATTGACATTTATAATTTGTAATAATTATCATTGTGACATGATTCATTCATTATTTTTTTTGTAAAAATAAAAACGTTAATTTCAAATGAATTTTTGTAAATTGAAAATTTTTGCTTGGAAATTTCATAATCGAAGAAAACTTTCAACAAATTCGAACATAAAGATTTTTTAAAGGCCATACCTTTATCGATTTCGGTATCGATTGTCGATGGTGATGGGGGTGGTTCGATAGTCGATGATGGTTGATTCACTAAAGGATATAAACTATTAAAATTTTCTGTCAATATAAACGAAATATTCGAATGATGATGAGGATGTGGATGATTATGCAGCTGTTGTTGATGAATATTTTGTTCAATCTGACATGATCCAGGTTCAATTTTTAAATAAAAAATTATTATCAACAAAAATCTAATGGATTTTATAAATAATTTTGCCATGGTTTTGCTCGATGGTTCTGCTTTGTTTTTTTTATGCCCAAAAAAATTTAACCCAATTTGTGTTTGAAAATCAATCAATCAATCAATCATTTTCACATTCTAAAGAATTTCGAAAGAAAACACGCGCAAAAACACGTACCAAGACGACAAACACTGTGAATCTGGATATAACAAGCAACTAGAAGATGATGATGATTAACACTAACCACGATGGTGAATAAATTCAACAAGTTTATGGACACAACGACAACAAGCTTACAACTTTGATGCAACGATTGATAATCATCATGACAATGAGGATGACAAACAGTGGACAACAACAACAGCAGCAGTAGCAGTTATGTATCCCATTAATTAATCTTCACACAGCAAAACATCATTGAGAAGATAATGACTGCGAATCTTTGACAAATTTTATTCAAAAAAGAAAAAAAAACAATTGAAAAAATGAAAAGTTTTAAAACGACGATATGATGAACATTGAAGCCAACAAACATTGAAGAAAATGAAAAAAAAATTCAAGATGATAATGATAATATCATCAAAACAGAACGACAACGATCATCATTTCATTGTTCATATGACAGAGAATATAATGTTTGTTTGTTTGTCATATTTAATTAAAATGTTTTCCATCACTTTCTCTTTTTTATTTCTATCTAAATTCTCTTTTTTTTCTCCTCAATGAATTCTGTCTTTTTTGACTTGACAATTCCATTGTCGCCAAGCAAACACTCCTTTTAAAATCATGGTTAAAATTGACTAACTGAAAATGAATTATGGATAATCATTGATCGATGAATGAGAATCTTCTTCGAGTGAGACAAACAAACAAACCAATTTTCATTGTCAACAATTTTTTCAATGTGAAAATTTTCAATGAAAAAAAATGGTTAAAAAAAAAAACATTGAGAAAAAAGGATTTTGTTCCGAGGAAATGAGATTATCATCCATAATCAACGTTTTCCTGTGCTTTTCATTCATAATTGAAATGAATTTTCATTTTCAAATGGTCATTTACATAATAAAATATTTGAAATAATTTTTTTTGAATTTTAAATTTTTTGCTTTGTTTTGTTTTGTTAAACAACTTGAACTTCACACACACACCAAATTGATGATGAACTTTTCAAGAGATAATCATCATTGAAAAGTGGAAAAAGATGGATTTTTTTTCTGTTGGAAAATTTATTGAAATGAAATAATAGAAATCATAATAAGCATTGAAACAAAACAAAAAAGTGAAATTTTTTTTTCTCCAAAAAAGGTAACAATTGATGAGCCTTGATGATACCTCTCATCCAGCTTATTATTGTCGCATTCAAATCAAAATTCATCAACCGAAACGATAATGATGATGATGTAAACAAAAAAGAATGCCAACAATATCCTATGTGTGTGAATGGTGTCCAATGTTTTATCATTTGTTGATTTATGGGATTTCTTCATTCATTCATTCATTTTTCGATTGTTGTTTTATATTTGCAATGAGATAAGATCCAAGCAAAGATGAAGATCAGGTAAATGTCAGATTTTGTTTTTGTTTGGTTTGTTTTGATTGAAACATATTTTTCCCATAATGAATTAATCATGATGATGATGATGATGATGAAATTAGTTCAATTGGTTCATTCTATTAAATTATTTTCGATACAATCGTTTACAACAATAGATGCTAAACAATGTGATGACTGTAAATGTGATGATTAGAAAGAAGAAGAAGAAAAATTTTGATTTTGATAATAAAAATTTTTTCTATTACAAACCTTGTGAATAATAAATTGACAACGTGAATCTTTCCATTCGTTCAACAATGAAAGACAAAGATGTAATTTAACGTAGTCTCTAAAAATTGAATTTGACAAAACAAAATGAACAACACAAAACAGAAAAAAACAAACAATTAATAAATAACACCATTTTGAAAAGTTAATTACAAATGTTTTTTTTTTGCAGTTTCGTCAGACAATTGAAAAAATTTCACTTTCACTTTCTTACCTTGCCAATAGTCGAATAATTGCACGAAAATCTTTACAACAATATTTAACAATATCAAATTGAATTTTTGAACCAATTTCACCTAAAAGTGAATCAATTGCTTTCATAATAATTAATTTAAATTCTCGTACTTCAATAGTCGATTGTTTGATTGTAAAACATCTGCAAAAAAAAAAACAGAAAATTGTTATTGATCGTTCAACAACAACAATCATCAAAAAGTAAACAAACTTACAGTTGAACATCCATATAGACAAATTTATTTTCAAATGTTCGTATCGAACGAAATTGTTTCGTTGATAATGACATTTTTACTTGTGAATAAATGAATTTCGAATAAATTTTGAATTTTTTAAAAAAAAATTTTACGAACAAAATGCAAAAATCATGTGACCGCGGTCCTGTTCATATACAATGTATTCGCTATTTTTCCCGTGAACAAAAAAAAATCGAACGTTTAATTTTTGGTGGATATTTTTAGAAAAATAATAATCGAATAAGCGAATGGAAATTACAGAGAGAAAAAAATCGATAATTTTATTTTCATTATTATTTTTCCTTTGGATATTTATAAATTAATAATCACAATCTATTTATATCATTAATATGATCATCATCATTGTGTTTGTTTTTCTCCGAAAAAGAATCAAAATCAAAACATATCAAATGATTAAATAAGTGAAAATTTCCAAAGAATTTCAGTGCAAACAAACCAACGAATGATCGATTGATCGATCTATGGATCGATTCAAACATTGAAATTGGTAAAAAAAAATCGACGATAAAATCTGTTCAATTTTTTTCAAATTTTTTTTTATTCAATCCAACAACAATAATAACCGAACAAAAAAAAATGATTTTCATGAACAATATAAATGAATCAGGTGAACATTTCTCACTGTTTTAGTGTGCTGTTTGTGTTTTAATGTGAACAAAAAAAAAAACAAAGTGAAAATGAAAATGAAAAAAAAATTGAATGAGATTTTGTCATCGTATTTACAAACAACAGAAAAACAAATTATGTAAAAACACAAATACACACCGAGTGAATGAGAAAAATCAAATATTCACAAAATCAAAATGAATGTTGACAATAATAATGTACTGATGATGATGATGTAAAACAGAATAATAATATTTTTATAATACAAAAATTGATGGATGAATGCATTCCATTAAAGCAGAATATTATTATTATTATAATGATGTTTGATTCTGGCGAAACATTAATAATAACAACAACAGATTCTGTGATTCTGTGATCAAATTAACAAACTTGAAAAGAATTTTATTATTTCAATTTTTGCCTTGCCTTTGCCGTAATGTCAACCCGATTGTATTATTTTCGGTGATATCATTATTATTGAAGATAATTTAATGATGACGACGGTTGGCATTCAAAGAATTTTCATCAGATTTTTCATTCATTCAAATAAACTTTTCCAGAATTTTACAATAAGTTTTCCAGTTTTTGTTGTGGTTTTTCTTTTTTTTCACCAAAATATGTTAATTTGAAATTCAAGAATAAAATTCTTCTTGGAATTGTGTGTGTTTGTGTATGTGTAAGTGGAGAAAAAAAATTTGATATCAGAAAATCTAAGACGATAAAACATTCATTTCATTCATGAAATGAATGAAAGATGTTATCGAGATGTTTTCGGGATACATTTCAATTGGTCGGCGGGTGTGTTTGTGTTATTTTCAAAAAAAAAAAAAAAAAAAAAAATCTGGCCCCCCTTTCGGGGGGGGGGGGGGGGGGGGAGGGGAAAAAAAAAAAAAAAAACTTTTTTTTT